GGTTAAAAAAGAGAAATGTGTTAGGTAGAAGAAATTACACTGTAAATAGCCTATGCATATTCATGAAGTACTTCAATGACTTTAAAAATATCAATAGGGAGACTCTGCCAAGAGCTTCTAGTTTTGGGTATTATATGAGCTGGACAGGGAAGAGAAAATATGTCCTCTCAGGTGACACAAATTCTTCCTATAAAAAAAACAAGAAATTCTCCCTGGCAGTCATCACCAACACTCTTGTATGGAGTCAGCCCAAACGCCTCACAACAATGACAAGCACAACACTGCTACTTTGCAAACAGAAGAGCCCTGGGATCTGACAATGTCATGGGAGATAGGATCATCTGCCCTAGAGGTCAGTGTCCTGCACATTTAACCAAGGTGAAATCACACACACTTGTAGGCACCAAGGAAGGGGACTGCTGTCTCCTTCTCAGCTGAAGAAGGAGCCCACCCTCAGCAGAGGGAGCCCTCCCTCTTTCACCTCACTCCTCAGCCTCTTCAGCAGGAAGCAGGAAGCTGGGCCTCTGCCCTGTCCCAGCAAGTCTTAAAAACTCCAAAGAAACGTACCCAAGCAAATACAGCTTTTTCTTCTAAAGTGTTCGGAGCTCTGCCACCACGAAATGCTGATCACAGGTTTGGAAACCTGTGGACAAGTCTGGAGTCCCTGCCGAGGAGGGAACAGGTCAGCAGCTTGCGTCCTATTTTCTCACTGAGGGAGTCTGATGGGAAATGAAAGTGAAGGGGTTTAAGCAGGCTGGGCTGGGGGGGGCGGGGCGGGGCGGGGCAGGCAGAGCCTGGATGACTAACTGGAAGCTATTGCACAAACCAGGCTGTGAGCATATGCGATCCTGGAGGGAGTTTGGCAAAGAAAGAGCTTCTCCCATTGTATTTCCTTGGTTCAAATATTGTCTATGCCCTGAACTCTAATAAAATTAGTATAACTTTGAAATATATTTGGTATACATTTCACTGAGATATTATTCTCAGTATCTTTTGCTCTGCATCACTGTATTTTGTTAGCCAGATATGATTAAAAATGTAATTTTTATCATGTCTTAATTGTACAAGTTTGTCATGTGAGAAGATTCTTATTAAGAAATCATTTTAGTACATTATGATTGCATTCATTGTCAATAGTTAGTACCTTTGCATAACACACTTTAATTGTTCCTTTTCTTCTCCTTCTCTTCCCTTCCCTCCTATCTTTCACAAATCAGCATTGCCCTGGAACACTGCCATAAACGCACTGATCTTGCTAGGTATCCAGCTCCCAACCCCTCTGTCCTCTTCCCTTCCATCTCCTTCCCCTTCATTTCTTTTTCACACAGGATCTCAAACTTATTTCACTTTTTGTGACACATTAATATTCACCCTACAAAGGATTAAAAGTTAGCAGGGGAGCCCCTTCAGGAAATACCTTCCATGGGCTGCTCTTGCTTCTGATTTGTCAGCTACATTTTACCTCTTGGGTGGCAGACACTGTCACATATAGCTTGGTGATTTAGAAATATTATAGACCATTAGAGAGAAGAGGGCCTTGGACTGACTGATGCAGAAGACAACTGTGGCTAGAGAGATACTCACTGAAGGCCAGGCTTGAAGACAACATGGAAGGGCCACACCCACCTATTCCCCTAGGGATGAGCATCAGGGATTGATATTTTAAACCACCTTCGGTGGAGGACAAGAACCTCAAATTCGAAAATAACAATGTACAGTGTGTTAACCATTGTTAATTTCTAACTATCTTGCTTTGAAATTCTGTATCATTGTACTTACTGATTTTTCCTCTGATATAAGAAAGATTGCTATCGGCTTAGGTAATATTGAATAAAAGGGCATCAAAGGGGGAACCTTGAAATATAGCAAGTATACATTGGAAGAATAAGAACTTCCTGGAAGGTGCGGGTTAAGGAGGCTCTGGTCTTCCACCCAAGGTGATTTAGAATATCAATCCCTGAAACATTGGGAAGAAAATGGTGCCACAGAATTGGTATTGGTACAGCCTACAGTGAGTGAAGACATCCATATGCAAGGCCAGGAAAACACACAAACAGATTAAATGGATCAGGCACCTCAGAGGCAAGAGACACACACCTTGGCCAGAGGCACAGAGGGAAGAGGCAGAGGGGGTTACAAGTTTCAAGTGTTTGTTCCACATACTGTCACAGGCTCTGAACATCCCCAAGACAGAGAAATAACTAACCCTTACCAGAAAAGGAACAGAGAGAGAATTCATAGATGAAAAACCCATGGCGTATCACACAACAAAATGCAGAGTATGAGACTCAGAGTCCAGAAAATCTCCAATAGGGGCTGGAGGAACAGCCATGAAGAGACTAAAATCCAAGGATGAGAAGTGTCAGAGACCACAAGAGCATTATACTTAAGTTTCTCCTGTAGCCCTATGACCCAATAGCCACATTATGGCTGATAACTTGGGACACTGAAGGTAAAAGGGTTGTTTTTTTTTTTCTTATTGGCTCATTGTTTTTTTTTTTTTAATTTTCTATTTCAATTTTATTACTTTCTATTACAGGTTTGTCTTACTGTTGTCCTGATATTTATTAGTACCACTTTCACTTTTTCTTTTTTTTCAAATCAAATTGGTAGGACAGTTTCAATAATTAACACATTGCATACATTCTTTCTAGTGGTTAATTGCTGTACAAGATGCGGACATGATATCCTATTTACAAACACTATTAGAACAAATCCCTCTATTCATTAAGAGA